GGCTTCCGCGCGTCCAGGCCCACGCCGCATCGCTGGGTGGGAGGTGCCTGTCGAAGTCGTATAAGAACTGTTTTGCCAAGCTTCTCTGGGAGTGCCGGGAGGGGCACCGATGGAAGGCGACGGCTGACAGCGTGATGAACAGCAAGAGCTGGTGCCCAACTTGCGCAACCAGCATTTGGAGGACAGAGACGGAGATCCGTGACATCCTGCAGACCATCTTCTGCCCTTCCAAGTTCGAATCCTGCTATCCGCAGTTTCTGGCGGGCTTGCAGCTGGATGGGTACTGCCCCCAGCTGTCGCTGGCATTCGAGTACCAGGGTGAGCAGCACTATGATCCAGAAAACTATTTCCACTTCGGCGACATCTCCAGCTTTGAGGCGCAGCAGGAGCGAGATATTAGAAAGCGGGAGCTGTGCCAGGCAGCCGGAGTGCGGCTGCTGCTCGTTCCATATTTTGCAAAGGACAAGCGAACCTTCGTGGTGACCGCCCTGTTGCAGTGGTTCTCCATTGAGGAGATTGCTCCTATGGTGCTGCCCATGCACAGAACTTGTCGTGAAGCAATATGAGGGTTGTTGATGGAGCAACAAGACGCAGTCAAACTCGTAGGGCTGCCTGAGCGGAGTATCTTCAGCATCCAGGAAGCTCCCTCCTGCATCTTGCAATGTTAATAATGTTTTGAGTAATCGTTCGGGATGTATGAGGCAGTGACTGACTGCTACCGTACCACTTTGGTCGCCAAGACCATCCTCCAAACGTAGAATCACAAGAGATAGCCAGAGGACGCGCAATATCTGGGAAGCTGGGTTGAGACGCTTTGACTCATGCACTGGGGCAGGGCAAACACGAATTCAAAAGTGAAATCAGACGCGGTGCGAAGCTCCCTGTCACCAAGCTGCTGCTATCTGAAAGTTGGCGTGAGGTTTCTTTTTTTTTTACGCATGCTGTGGATTTGTGTGTTGGATACTGTGTGCGCAAAGGTGTGCAGGATTTTGCCAGAATTATTCCCGAACAAGGATTTTGACTCGTGGGCTTGACCCTTGCCGCTTGTAGAGTCTGATGGGCCAGCCTGGCAAAACCTTCAACCTTCAACGCTGAAATCTTTGCCCTTGAGGCCTCTGGGATGTATGCCCACCCCAGCCCCACGGCAATCTTTTAAGCTTGACATTCTCCCCAAGCCCCTGCCCTCGTCTTCACTGAGAACTTACATTTAGAGTCTTCACGGCTAGAATCCCAACACCCTCCCGCACACAAGCGTGGAGCTCCCAAAATGTGCCCTACACATCAGTTAAAGAAGGGGGGCTCCAAGGGTTCTTGTTGTCTCGCAGCTGAGGTCGCCCCATGGCCAGAACAAGTTTGTCTCAATGGCGCCACCAAACATCCAGCCCTACCAGGCAGGGGTTCCCAAGGTAAGAATTGTAGCCGGCATCAAGCATTAGCTTGCTGGGTCTTATGGGTTGGCTTTAGTTCTCCGACCCGGAGTAAGTGTTGGGGGTTCAACGGTTCAGGGTGTTGTTGGGGTTGAGGATTTGAGGACTCAGCCCTATGTCAGGGCAGTAGATGGATAGAATGGGATTACCTGGGTTCATTTTCTGGTTTATAGGGGCTATAAGCATACTTACAGGTCCCCCGACCCTCCAAGTAGGGACTACGGTGGGGTACAGTGTCTGTAGGCGGCTTGGGGTCAAATACTAGCGCGATGGAAATGAAGGTGTGAGACTTTCTGATTCGCCTCCCGCAAAGGGTTCATCCTGAGCCCTGAGTTTGGGACGTTTAGGGTTTAGGGTTTTAGGGTTTAGGGTTTCGGAGTTAAGAGTTTAGGGGTTTAGGGGTGAGGGTTTTAGTGTTTAGGGTTAATCGCTACCTTAGCTAAGGCTCCTGCATAGAAGGTGTGAGGTGGTCTACGCGAGGTCCAAAATCAACAGCCCAAATCCTGAGCTCTGCACCCTGAACTCTGAACCTGAAGATGGTTTCGTAAGGTCCCGCTTGATTGGGGCCTCCCAGAGAGGAATCTCCAATGCTTTGAAACCCTAACGTCTGAAAACTACTAATTTAATCCCAGTCCTCATCTTATTTGTAACCCTATCCCTCTGTGTCCGTAGAGGCGCCCTAGATATCCTAATATGAGCTATAGTCTAAACTCCTTAAAGGGGGTTATATAGGGGCTTATATAGGGGATTATATTGGGGAGCAATATAGGGGTTATTAAGGGGGATACGAGGAGTTTATACCATAGCTAATATGATCCTGGCAATGGGGCATTGTCTGCCTGCGAGGCTTATGGCGCCCCGCAGGCTGCCGCTGGAAGGGATGGAGGGAAAGGGGTTTGAGTTGTCGGACTAAGGTTTCAGGTCACAGTCTTAAGGGTTTGGGATTTAGGATTTAGGGTTTACGGCTTGGGGTCGAGGGTTCAGGGATGCAGGAGAGTTATCCTTTCAACTAAGGCTGCCGCACCAGAGATACAAGTTGCCTGTTTGTCCTTGCTAAGCCTAATTTCATTTGAGAAGGGGATGACGGCATCGGGGGAGGTAATTCTCTTTTCTGGTTCGTCCCCAGGAGACTTTGACGTTCGCGCGGCTCTCACTTCTTTGTCATACATTCAGAGCATTTACGTAGGTAGATTGAAGTTGGGAAGGTACAGCAAGCAGTCACGTCTTCACCCCAGGTTGTCTCACTTCAGAGCACTATGCTGTGCGGGCTGAAGAATTTGAAAGATACTAAGGCCCGCAACCCTGAAACGCCAAACACTAAAACCTTGAGCTCCCAAATCAAAATGGTTTGAAGGGAGTTTCCTCGCTAAAGGCTTTAGGATGGGTTCCGATGTGTCTGCATCACGGTGTGTCTGCATGACGCTTTGAACATTTAATTGAGCCCTGGTCGAAAGCTGCCTGAAGATTCCAGAAGCTCGAACAGGAGGAACGGAAGGTTCATGGCCGAGGAGGGGGCAAGGGCATGGACCCTGAAAGCATGAAGAAGGCAGGGGCGCGCGTGTGTAGGGCTCAGGACTTAGGGTTTGGGGTTCAGGCTGGGTTCTCAACAAGATTCATGCCTCTCTTTGGGCTTGGGATGCAGCATTTGGATGTCAAGCAGGGGCCCTCAAAATCACCGGTCCTGCTTGCGACGAACAGCACTTTGCAGTCTTGAAACAATTCTACTTCTGCAACCAAGTGTAGAATCCGAAATCGGAGAATACAAGGAATTCTGACAGTCTAAAGGGCGTCCACATGGATTTCACAGGCTTCAGTTTCGAGGATTTATGCATGTCTTGGGCTCAGGATCTGAGGCATAGGGCATAGGGGCTTCCAACTTTTGATGGGAGGGAACAAATCTGATGTGCCTACCACGCTGATGTGAAGGTTTCTCAACCGTAAAGGGTATACGTACCCGTTGAGTTACCCGTACTGAGGAGGCGAAGGTTACGAGGCAGATACTTGATATCCTTGTTTTCAGAACTGCCCATCTGAATACTGACGCGTTGTACATCGGAGTGCGTTGCCCCACAAGTATTGAGCCTGAGTCCATAAGACGCTCCCTAACTTTCAGCTGAAGAACCAAACCAGTGAAGGTATGATAAGGACTTCACTGAAACACTGCTCAACAGTCATTCGCAATTTCCCGCCAAAGTTTCGTGCCAAAAAACTGACTCAGCTGCCCGAAGCTGTCCCCAGCCACTTATCACCCTATGGCCATAAATCCTAGACCCTAAACCAGGACGCTTAAACCCTAAACCCTTAAACCCTAAACCGTTAAACCCTAAGTCCACGGCCCGCACAAACTCGCAGGTTGCAGCGGCTGTTGGTGGCGTTTGGGTGTTAGGCCCCTTGGCCGGTCTAAGGGGGGGTGGGGGTGGGGAAGTGAAGTGACACGCTTGAGGGTCAAGTGGGTTTAGGTCTGCGTAGGTTCAGGCTTCAGTGGGCTCGAGGTCAAGGTCTTTAGGGTTTTCGGGCTTTTTGGGGGCTATGGTATGTTCGTTGTGTTTGGGAGTTCCAGGGTTTTGTGGGTTTGGGTTAGGAATCCTTCTTTCGGGGCCTGGAAGGCAAGTTCCAACTTTGAGGCTTCGGCTGGGACCCAAAAAGCACTTGAGGAAGGGCAGAACATGAGCCTGAAGGAGGTCTTCCAACCCCCACCCCTCAAACCCTTAATCCCTTAAACGCTAAATCCTAAGCCCACAATCCTTGCTTGAAGCTAATCCTATTCGCCGAGGTTTGCAAAGAAATTTCCTCCTGCTTGTGCTGCTGCTTGTGCTGCTGCTTCCGTTGCCGCAACGTCATGTCTGCCACTGCCACACTTATTTCGAAGACGACCACCACGAGCATCATCAATATATTTTTATCATGGGTCCATCCAGTACATGCATCTTCTGACGGATCTTGCTCAAGGCGTACTGCCTGCGGAGCCTTTGGCGTGAACCGCTTCTCATACCAAAGAGGGGAGAGAAGATCGACAGCGTCAGTAGAAGCCTGAAGTTCCCTTATAACCCTTATCTACAACATATAATATACCCCAAAACGTAATGCCAGTTCGATAGGCATCTACATTATTCTGTAGGGGTTGCCAGTTCGGGACTTGCCTACGCTGTCTAAGCCCCACAAAAGCAAGGGACATAGAAGCCTTTATCATATGATGACGTGATCGGGCTTTTTCAGACTTGCCATGGCTGGTGCAAGCAGATCTCGTTATGCCTCACATGGACCAATCTAAGCTGTCAAAGTAGCTGTGAAGCAGTCTTTGGCAGTTTGTGCTAGTTTGTGCTCTAGACAAATCTTCTACTGGCCCTAGACTTTACAACTTTGTCCTGCGCGATGGCTGCAGCATTGAAAGATGAAGGAAACAAGCTGTTTCAAGCGGGCGAGTGGAAGAAGGCTGCTGATGCCTACAGCCGAGGCAGTGGGCCCAAAGCCTCTACGTTAATAAAGGAGTATGTGTATTCCTTAGGCAGCCTAACGACTGCCGCGTTAGAGCTTAGGGGGAAGGATTAGTCTTCCCAAGCTAAGAGGGAACCCCTAGTTTGGGGGAAGCATTGCTTTGGGGTCTGCTCACGAGGCTTGGCGGCTCTGCTGGTGGATCCCGAACTCAGCCATGATGTTGCTAAAACCTTGGCAGAGGCCTTGGGGTCTACTGTAGGGGCCTAAACTAAAACCCTAAACCCTAAACCAATAGTATGGTTTCTAGAGTCCTTCTAGAACGTAGGGGCCTTAACCCTAAACCCTAAAACCTTGGCAGGGGCCTTTGGGTCTACAGTGCCCCAAATAAACAGGAAAGCTGAAACGTTCCCCTCTTTCGAAGCGTGGTACTCTTGCTAGGGCCAATTTTTCCTTTGCGTTCATGTTAGTTAAGTAGAGTTTAGGGATGCAAGGTTTAGGCCATAGAGTTTGGGCTAGAGGGTGGGTCTAAACCCCGAGGCCTAACTCCTTCAAGGGTGCGGGGCTCGGGCTGTTGCAGTTGTAGGGCGCAGGGCATAGGGTTTGGAGCATAGGCCTTGCACTCGAACCTCTCGCAGTGCTATCTGAAGCAGGACGATTTCGAGTTTTGGGTTCACAGCGCTTGGCTTTAAGGTTCGGGGCGGCTGTCTGGGTTGTACAGTTTGAGGTTTAGGATGTTGTGTTTAGGGTTGAGAGTGCGGGCTGTAGGATTTCTTTGTGGTAGATATATGATGCTCATTCTGCATTTCTTGGGAAATTAGAATTCTCGAAGGACATCTCCTTAACTCCTGACATGACACTCCCTAATGTAGACCCATGATTAATAAACACCCTCCTTTTGAGGGCCTTAATATTAGGATCCTTATTATTATCTCTATTAAAGGGAGGGGGTCTATCAATCAGGGGTCTGGGTCAAGGTAATTTTCTCTAAGCAGCTGGCAGGACATGCATCGGCAAGCAGCTGAGTCTGCCGGCGCTTGCCTCCTATTAAACTCCAGGCGCCTGCAGGTCCTTTTTGTGGTTGCCTGTCTATAATTTCAGTGGGGTTGTTGAGGGATAGGTCGTATGTAGGGTTCAGGGTTTTGAATTTATTTATGCCTTTTCAGTGTCAATGGGCTTCCTCAGGATTATTTTTTGAGGAGGTTTTTGTGGAAGACGCTGTGCGCCCATTTTCTGTGTAGTGAGTTGAGGGCTTGGCGCCTGATGCGTCTTTCTTGTTCCATGGCCCCTCTACAAACGATTTCGCCCTTTCGGGGAAAGTGTGGTGATGTGAAGGGCTTATGCTTTAGGCTTAAGCTATAAGAAAGATCTTACCTTATGCCCGGGAATGTGATTTGCGAGCAGGAGAGCGTTCCGTTTTTTAAGACGGACCGTAGTGTGCCCTACCGATAAACTCTTCAAAGTTGCGAAGTCCTACATGTACCTACATGAGTCTGGAATAGTTGTGGATTTCGAAACATGTTGAAATCATGGCTGTTACTTGGCGCTGGCAGGACAAGTCCTGAACCCTCAGCCCTAGACCAAAGCACCTCAATTCCAAACCCATATTTTAAACTTACAAGCCTCGTGCTTGAAGCTGGGAATTCAGCAGTTCCACCTGGAAGGCTAAATTCTTTAAGTCTAAGCCACTTAAGTCCCGCTCTCTCTATAGCATCAAATTTGCAAAGCCTTCAAACTTAATCCGTCGGCCCCCCACCATCCCAGCCACATGGGATTCTTTCAAGAACAATCCTAAACCTTATAGTCCCCCTCAAGTAGATAAAATCTGGAAGTGCCCAGAAACCCTAAACCTTAAACCCCAAATCCTGTATCTACTCAATGGGGACTATGATCGATCTTACGCCCAGCAACTCTGCGAAGGCACTGCAAGGCGCGTTTCCGCCGGGCCTCAGCCCTGGAACCTGGGTCGGCATTGGGGGATCCAGGGGTTTATATTGGGATAATGGAAATCAAATGGAAACTACTATACTATATAGGGCTAATATAGGGGATATATAGAGATAATGGAAAATATAATGGAGACTACTATTTAGGGTTTAGGTTTAAAGCTTGAAAGGTTTGGGGACTGGAAGGAATGTATGGATTTCAGGGATCAGTGCTGTTTAGAGGTTTAGGACTTCAGAGGATATAGGATCATGAATGAGTTCAGACTCAATAGGAGGTACGTAGGGATAGCCTGGGGTTATTGGGAGTTTGCGGTTAATGAGGATCGCCGGTGCAAAGCGGGTTTCCTTGTTGTGCTGGTCTAAGCGAGTTTAGCTCCTAACTCCTTGCCCCAAATCCTGAACTCTAAACTTCAAACCCTGCAACCTACATGCCGAACTCTAAACTGGAAAGCTTCAAACCTCACCTGGAACGGCAGTCGCTAGACCCCCAAAATCTAAATCTTAGACTGCAAAGACTAAATCCACTAGCCTACTCTCTGAACCCTGAACTCCACACTCCGGACTAACCCCAGCCCCCTAGACCCAGCCCAGCCCAGGAGAAGCTGGGACAACTGAAAGCTGCAGAGCTGGACTTGCAGCAGCTGCTAAAGGCAGAGAGTGGGGCCTAAGTAAACCCCTTCACCCTGATAATATCACCCCTACCAGCCCAAAGCGGACACATAGGGCTTTCTAAGGGGAACGGAAAAGGAAATGGAAACTAATGGAATATGTAGGGCCTCGGGCCAAGAATAACCCACAAACTGCCTGCAGAATTAATGCTCCCAATGTAGTACCGCTATATAATAAGGGGGATAGTCATTCTTAGGTGGATGGGGGGCGGTTCTTGCTGGGGGATCCTTTTGTACTGTTGTGATTTACGGTGTAGGGGCTTAGGGGCTGAGGTTCAGAGCTTTGGGGTTAGATGCTTAAGAGGCTTAGAAAGGACAGCTTTCAGCCGGGGCCTTGGGGTTTGCGGTTTAGGGTTTCCGGGGGAAGAGAAGTGATGGTCGTCGTAAAGCCAGGGATACCTTCACCCTATACCAAAGGCATGTTGTGTAACGCGCAGATTGTGAGGGCCGCTGTTGGCAAGAACTCTACAGTCTACACCTCAAACCCTAAACTGAGTACCTACACCTTGAGCCCTAAGGCCTGAACCACCCAAACTCTTGCACCCCAAACCCTACACTACTGAGGACGATGTAGGTACAGCTTTGAGACATTCCCAGGTGGAGCTGGACCACAAGGAAGCACGTGCTTTGCTCGCGCGGCTGGCGCCCAGCAGTAAACCTGCCGAGGTTGGCAAGCCAACTGTTCTTGGGGTGCTCAGCACGGTGAATATTAAATATCCCAATCGTGGAGAATTATAGTTGGACAAGAAAAGGCAAACAAAAAGGAAAGTGGGGTTCTGTTGGGATTGCGTACTTAGAATCCTTTATGACCTTAAGTGCCTTGTAACTTTGAAGTTATGGCACGATGGAATACTAAGGTCATGCAGGTTTTTTTCATCAGCAGTACGACATGGAAATCATGTTGGTCTAGGGTTAAAGGCTTCCATCGAACCATGGTCTGGTTTGGGTACTGCCCCCACCCTGTAACAGTTGGACAATAAGTAATGTACAGCCCTCAATATGGTCCCAATATAGACAGTTACAGGGTGGTGGCAAAACCAAGGTCTAGTGATGGTGATGACACAGGCATATAGCTTCTGCTATCCATCTCAATCTTGGCATGTGTTCTGCAGTCATATGAGCTATAGTGTGAACTCCTTAAAGGTGGTTATAAAGGCATTATATAGGAGAGTAGTATAAGGGTTATTAAGGGGGATGCATGGAGTTTAGACTGTAGCTCATATGGCAATTTCCAAGAAGCTGGGGACCCCAATATGGACCCCAAAATATTGTAGTCCTCACTATAGGGACCCCCAAAACTTGTACCCGAAACCCTTGAACCCTCTAGTTGCGGGACACACCCCCATATAAAGATCATCTCTAGGTCGATGGGGCCTGAAGACCACCTGAGCCCCCCGAAAAACTATGTAGAATAATGGCCTTTTGGCATATTTTTAGGGGTTTTGGACGATTATTTTCCTTACCTTTGGTTTGGGGTTCAGGCACCCTTTTTCCTCCAATCTTACGCCAACCGCCATGCCCCTGACCAGGAGAGACCGGCCCAGTGCGGCCCACCTGCGGTGCCGAACAGAACGGCCTGGGCGGCTGGGCTGAGCGGCTCAGCAGGTTTCAGGAATTTTAAGGCTTTAGACGATATTGGGATAGAGAGTTTGTAGCTTTTGATTAGCGGGTTAAGGGTTTAGTAGGGGCTTCAAGAGTTTCAGGGCTTGGCGGACTTTGGGACCCAAGGCTTGCATCATGTAGAGGCTTAAGGGTCATTAGGCATAGACGCAAAGGGGCTTCAACGACTGAGGGGATCACGGATTTTTCAAACTCAGGGGTCCCTTTCCAGGAGTCCTCACAACAGGGAGTATCATGGTGTAGACACTTGTGTTTGCAAGTATCCATGTAGCTAAACTTGCCAGCAAACAAGGGGCGCAGGGAATCCTGAAGCGGGAAGAGCAGTTTTTGCATGACAGCTGAGCTATCCAGTTTTCATGCATGTGACAGAAATCTTTTTTTTTTTCTTCCCTGTTGGCTTCCGTCTCATCATCGCGGAGCACCGAACTGGACATGCCCTGCTTACAATGTCGAGGACTGCTCCCAGCTGAGCTGTGTAGCGTGCATCGAGCAGCATGCTTCAGGTTAGAGGAGTTGATTGCTGGCACTTTGGGGATCGATTGTCAGGACATGTGGTGCTGTGTGGGGTGGAGGGGGCCAGGTTGTGAAAGCTGTTATGATTAGGAGAGATGTCACCACAAGTTTTAGTGCTGCCCGCTCTTCCGAATCAAGCTTGCTTATCTAAACGCATGGTGCCCAGGTCGGAAATTTGGCAATGGCTATCGGGAAATTTGGTTATCAGCATCAATATGAGGGCTGGTCTGAACCGAACATCACTGGACTTGATGCCTATCTCATCAGCCCAGGCAAAGAGAAGCAACAAGAATGGCTTGTTGACTGTTACCGCATGCGCCTCGACGATGACTATGCCTGGGGCGGCTGCAATCTGCATGGCCTCTATGACCCGGACCACACGCCTGCAACTGGGATCAGCATAAGACCAGGGAGTGGCAATGTCTATACAACAAGAATACTACTATGGAAGTAATAGTAGTTATCAAGATAGTTGTAATCTAACACGGTGATGTGGGTCTCCTGTATGTGTTGAAGCGTTAAAGCAGTTGCTCACAGCATCCTAGAGGCACTCATGCATGCCTTAGGCGTAGATTTACGACCGCCCTTGGTGTGATGTGTCCTCCCTTTCGCAATGAAGCGCCATCGATCTGAGCTTCAAAACCCTGGACTCTACAACCCTAAGCCCTAAACTGTAAACCCTAAACCCCCTAAACTCTGCCATCCTGAGCCCCAAGCCCTGAAGTCCCCAAGCTTTAAAACTCGAAACCCTGATACCTAAACCCCAAACCCTAAGCCCTAATCCCTAAAGCCTAAGCTTACGGGTTCTTAGTAGGGAATAGGGAATATACTATGTAGGGATTCTATTCCCTTATTCTTTGCTTAGAACAAGGAAGTAATTCCTAATAGCTGAAACAGCTGCTAGGCCACGATCCTTCAAGATTTTCTGGTCTTCTGCAAGCTGGCCGTCCTCCGGGGTGTGCTGCCGAATCTTTGGGACTGGCAAGGCGCCTGAAACCTGTATGGCCTCATGGGTTGGGGATTAGGGTTTAGGGTTTAAGGTTGAGGGCTAAGGGTCTAAGGGTTTAGGGTTGAGGGCTAAGGGTTTAAGGGTTAGGGTTTAGGCATTAGGGCTAGGGGATCAGGGTTGAGGGTTTAGAGATTAGGGTTCAGGGTTCAGGGATCAGGGTTTAGGGTTAAGAGCTCAGGGTTAGGGTTAAGGGATCGGGGTTAAGGGTTTACGGATTACATGAGGGTTTAGGAATCAGGGATGACCAGGGTTAAGAGTTTACGGATCAGCATTTAGGGTGTTTAGGGATTAGGTATTCAGGATTCAGGGATCTTACCCCTTTTATTGAATTCCAAACGCAAAAGAACATGCAACATAACGTAGAACTAGGATTTTGAGGTTATATAATCTAGGGAAATGCAGGGGATATATAATGCAAGGCTTATATAGGGATATATACATACAGGGCTATTATGTAGGGATATTCCTTGAACAATGGTGAACAAAATATAAGCTGTGATGATAGAGACTTTTACAGAACTGATAGTAACGTCTTTGCATGACCCTCAGAACCATTTACCATGGGAATTACGGCATTCTAGTGCACTAAGGTCACGCAGGATTCAACGGTAGCGCTTTAGGCAGTTGGATTTCGGAACATCATCTCGCGTTCAGGGTTCAGGGTTTAGAGAAGGGGTTTCAAGAGCATGGTTGCTTTTCGAGCTCATTGTATATATTGCTGTCCACTTTCTTCAGGTCGTGTTGCCCAGCCGAAAGCCATGCCATCAGAAATTTAATCGGGGCACTTTGATGCCGCGGGTTGAGTTTGTACAATCCCCGGGCTTCCGGGCTTTAGGGTTTGGGGCTTAGGTTTCTGGGGCCTGTGGGTTTTACGAGGAAAGGGGATGAGGCAGGGCTTTCATTCCTGGGTTTGGTGAGTGTATGCATTTTGGGCGCGCAGAAATAGTACTGCTACCTTGCTGTACGGTTCAGGGTTTAAGGTTCAGGGTTTAGGGTCGCTTTAGGGTCGCTTTATTGTTCTCCAGGGTTCATGTAGCCTTGCTAGCATCTCCCAAGATCATCAGTAGTATTTGACTACCGGCTTCTGAGTTTGCTGGCAGGCTTGCTGCAGCGTGCCAGCAAGCTCCTGCCCTTTGCGTTTGAGAAGTCAGACGCCAAAGAGAGCCACTGACCAAAAGGGTTGAGGGATTTAGGGTGTTGGGATTTTGGATTTAGGGTTTCGGGAGTTAGGGTCTTAGGGTCTTAGGGTTTAGGGATTTAGGGATTTAGGGAGGGTTTGGCGGTGTAGAGTTGAAGCATCTAAGGTTTAGGGTTTAGGCATTTAGGGTGTGGGGATCTAGGGGTTCGGGTTTAGCTGAGCAAATTGAAGCGATCTCGCCCCAAATAGTGGTTCATGCGCGACATGGTTCCAGCCTACGTAAGCTTAATTCAGATTTGGGAATTATCGTTATCTAGCCAGTCTCAAAGATCCTGTTTAGCTTCTAGGATTTTGCGTGTGTTTTTTGCGTGACCCATCAGGGGTGCTTCCCTTGCTATGCAGGGGTGCGGGTGTAAGGTATCTCCTCAAGTAAGAGTGCCCACAGGGCTAAAACCCTAAACCGACCGCCTCCAGAAAGCGGGAAGCTAGCAGTTTACTCGGGGCGTCCATTGGTTGGATATTGTAAGGGGTTTGCATGACCCCATCTGACTGCGGGTTCAACAAGTCAAAGTTTCGGTTTTTTTGGGTCAAAATCCTAAACCGTGTTGACCCAGGAAGTGGGGCGGCGAGAACTTCTTTGCTGCTATGATGGGAGGTAGATCGCTGCGCTTCACTGGAGAGGTGATTTATGGCACATCGATGCAGAGGCTCTCTCGCATCTTACGCTGACAGCACAGCTAGTTGTCTTACTGGTCGTTGTAGGGAATGAGTGAATATGTTTTATAGCGGTTCTGTAGAGATTATGTTTCCTTAGTTCCTATTAAGAACCTGTAAGTTGTTCGTGTCCTGCTCTCTCTCTCTCTCTCTCTCTCTCTCTCTCTCTCTCCGTATATATATATATAGATAGTCCGGGACATGTTTACTATTAGGATGGGGGACTTTCCTGCAACTTGCAGGGGATTATTCACCGTGCACGGGAAGCTGAGGAATCAGTTCGACACGGATCCTGAGCACTCGCGGCTAGAGGAGATGTGGGCTTTACTGGTCATAAGTAGACCTAGGGGTCGACTGTAATAGGCTGAGGCAAGGAATATGTTGAAATGCATGCGGCAACTATCCAGGCTCTCAGGCCCTCATGTGTGTTAACCAAGCAAGTGGCGATTATAGTCAAGATGAATTCGTCCTGACCAGGGCTAAGGATGGGTTTCACAAGGCCATGTTGCTTTCTGAGGTATTTGCCATGGAGCAACATCAGAGGGCAAACATCCTAGAACCCAAGCCTTGAACCCTAAACCCAAACAACCCTAGATATTGCCCCGGGTATTCGCAGACAGAACATGTCGAGGAAGTCTTCCCTTGGCTGTTGAATGTAGGTGAGGACAGCCCGTTCCTCCAGGAATACATGGATGACAAGGATTGCTATGGAATGGTGCAGAAGGGACCCCCTCACACACCAGCACCGAGGCCGTTGAGATCAGCACAGTTTCCACGTTCTGTAACGCATGCCTTTAAGTAAACCTAGATCCTACCCCCTAAGCCCTAAAGCGTCTTAAGCCTAAGTGCAAGCAGCAGGATCTGTGCGAGTCAATGCCGCGACGTGCTGACAGTGCTTCCCAGATGTGAATGTCGAGGGGTAACGTAGAAGCCTTAAGTTTTAGGATTTAGGGTTTGACATGCGAGCCGCCAGCCGTAGTTGGTACTGGGATGGAGAACACCCCGAATACCCTACATCCCCAACAGCCTGTGGTTCCGAGTTTAGATAGATACACAGATAGAGGCATCTATACACATGCGCATAGACTACGCAAGATTGTACCAGGTCTCCTCCATTCACGATGGGGTTCCTAGCCCTTGAGAAGTGAGGCTAAGTTTCAGCAGAAAGCCAAACTTTTTGCCGACGTTGGTGGGCATGAAGCCTGGCTGAAACTACTGGAGACGCTCACGGCACCCCGGCATCTGAGATTTAGTAGAGGAGTTGAGGGCGCAGTCGCTTCAGGTTTAAGGGGTTGAAGGGCCATAGCAACAGGATGTCAAGTTACCCGAGCTGTGGGGTTGTAGATGAAACTTCTAGGAGTTTTGGGTTTTGAGTTTTGGGCGCTGGGGCCACCGGGAGACTTTCTGCCAACATCTGTAGACACTAGTCTGAGAACATGTCTGGGGGAGCTTTCTAAAGACTCCTTTCCCGGCCTACATGCAGAGTGCTTCTTCGAAATACCGATTCATTGCAGTTTTATTCGGCAGTATATAGCGTCACCACGAGCCCGGACCGCTAACGTCCGGGCCAGAATCCCCAATTTCCCTTGACTAAGTCAAAGCTCTGGTTCAGTGCCCAAGACAGGCACAAGGCTGTGGCGGTGAGGACTTCGATGACTTTGACGACGACTACGATGACGACTATGATGACGATTACGACGAGGATGAGGATGAGGCTGGGGGAACACGAAACACACAGAGAGCAGTCCAAACAGTAATCGTTCAGAAAGAACCAAGATGTTTCGCACAGAACAACCCCTGAATGAGACGTACGGGGTTTGCATTCTCTGGTTATGTTGATGCTTCGATACCAACTATTTGGACATTCTGGGGTGGGTAGCTGAGATGGACAACTAGCCCACGCCCTATTTGACGAATGCCAAGCATGATCCCGACACGGACCCCTTAGGTGTCATCTGATCGCTAAATGGCGCACGCATCTGAACATGCAGGGCTTTTTGCAACTCCTAAGCCTTCACAACCATCGCCCATGAACTTGCAACCCTGAAGCCTAAGAGCTGAACCTGAAGCCATGCGAGTAGTAATTATTATTTGAAATAGGGATACCCAATGTGGGGTTAAGTTGAGCTTTCCATTCTGGCTATTGTATTTATGGTAAGAAGGTAGCCACCCAGGGTTCAACCACCCCCGAAAATATCCCTCATGCGTTTGTGTTCAGCCGAACAGGATTATGGCGACGATGACCCGCCAGTTGCAGCAGCAAGCAGCCCAAGTACTGCTGCCACCGCAAGGAACGTAGTTTACTGGGGATCAAAGTTTAGGGTTTGGGATTGAAGATTCAGGTTTACGGTTTGCATGGAACGGAAAAATGGAATTTGTTATATACGTGCGCATACTTATGTACACACACACATGTCATGTAGAGTTTAGTGCGTATGTTTGCGAAAGCTGCAAGAATCCCCATGGCAGTAAGCAGTCCCTCTCTAACTGTGTGTGTGGGGCTGTTTGGAATTGTTTGGACAAACAGCATTTTTTCTTAGGCTTTAGGCTCTAGGATGGGTGCGGGACATCTTGCATCATTTAACAGTGCCCTTTTCCTGCGAAAAGGCCAGAGCAGCAATCTATACGTGCTACTCAGTACGTTGATGCTGTGAGGAGGAAGTCCTTTTTGCCTAGGTGTTGGGGTTCCTGCCTAGGTGCTAAGCAATCAGGAATAAGATAGGGTTTCAGATGCTGCCTTAAACCCTAGACCTTTGGGAGGTAATAGTGGTATAGTAGGAATGTAAGAGGGCCCTAATATTATTCCTATTAACCCTAGATCCTTTAACCTTCAACCCTAAAGCCTAAATCCTTGAGCCTTGAGCCGTAATCCTTTAATCTTAGACCCCAAATCCCTAAACCCTCATCCCTAAACCCCAAAACCTTAACCCGTAATCCTTTGACCTTTTAGCCCTAAACCCTAAACCCTAAATCCTCAAGCCCTACACCTTTAACCCTAAGCCTTAAACCCTAAGTCCTTAACGCCTAATCCTTGGACCTGAAGCCCTAAGCCCTAAACCTTCAATCCTCAAGCCCTACGCCTTTAACCTTAAGCCTTATACCCTAAGTCCTTAACCCATAACCTTTATACTCTAAACCTTGAACCCGAAATTCTTCACTCTTAGTCCTTTAACCCTAAATCCTTAAGCCCAAAGCCTTTAACCTCAAACCCTAAACCCTAAATGCTTAACCCCTAATCCTTTGACCTTATACCCCTAAACCTCAAATGCTTAAGCCCTAAGCCTTTAACCTTTAAACTCTAAAGCCTAAATCCTTAACCCCTCATCCTTTAACCCTAAACCCTAAATCCGAAATCCTTAAGCCGTAAGCCTGTAACCTCAAACCCTAGACCCTCAAGGCCTTAATCCTTTAACCTGAATCCCTAACTCCTTAAGCCCTAATCTTTCGAGCCATAAAACCCTAAATCCTTGAGCCCTAACCCTTTGACCTTAAACCCAAACTTAAACCTTAACCCTAACTCCTGAAGCCTGCAGGAGCGGTCTGAAGCCAATCGCGGAAGTGCGAGAGTCGCTCAGAGCCCGAGAAGTGAGCTTTTCAAGTTTTAAGCTAGCTTATACTGGGGTTAGTTAGGGTTTATCTAGGGTTATACAGGAATATGTGGGGAGAGGTAGGGTTTAGCGTTTAGGAATATTACCCCAATGATGGAGTAAACATGCAATGGAAAACGAGATGGGGGCTGGATTTGTAGGCATTTGTTGGGGGATTGTGGTCGCTTCAAGCCCTGTAATACTAGAATACGGACGCTATAAGAGTCACTTGATAGCCATCGTGTCCTATTTTATTTTGGGGCTCGGCTTTAACAGTTGTTTTTCTGGTGGTTTCCGTATGTTTGATACTACAAGTCCTACATGTTTTCAGCATACCGTGATACCATAATTATCAAGATTCCCAAGCTACAATGTACCTAGGGTCACGCATGATGTGTTTTTAAAGCAGTTTGGGAAGCATTGCCTTAGAGCCCTGGAGCTTAGACCCTACATGAGACAAAGACTGGTACTGTACCCCAACCCCAGCTCCCACAATCCAAGCCCTGACAACCTAAACCCTGAGTGACAAACTCAAGCAGGAAGTTGCGGGGGTGGCTGACCTCTTTTCCAGACGTTCCCAGCCAAAGCATACGCTACGCCTCTGACCAGCTACCAGGATGAGCCTTTAGTTAGAGTGATTTACGTAGTGTTTTCTGAAAGTGCTAGCAGTTACGATTCCCGGGGTTGCTATTAAAGGAACGTAAATTAAGTTGGTAGAACATGGGTCTATAGTAAATAATAGGGGTTCCTTACCATAGCAACTTAACAGCAACCCAGTTTCTGGAGAACGTATGTTGAGAGGCGAATCCAACAAGTTCCCGGCGCATTGTTTTCCATCAAGCACGCTTGGACAAACATCTAGAGTTACAATAGTTGTGTAGTGACCCAAATGTGTGGTATTTTTTCATAGGAATACTCTGGTCCCCAATGTAGAGTAGGATGCAACCTGACTTGGTCCGACAAGTAAAGAAGACACTTCTCAAATGGGTTGTGCCTTACCACTCGCGGACAGCACAGGGGCCCAATACTATGGAAGGGTTCCTGGTCGGTTACAGAATGTCACAATGGAGGGCTTTTCTTGGTTCCTGCTAAATGTGTTTTGTTTTTGTACTTGTTCCCCAAACCCTGAACCCTAAACCCTAGTCTCCCAATAATGAACCAAGTTTTTAGGGCCCTCTTGCCTTTCCTGATGTTTAAAGTCTACCCGCACAAATTTCGCAGGTTGGAGGATGGTGACAAGCCGCATTACTCCTTTGGAGCAGACACTGGGCGCACCAACTACTTCAAATTCGCTGAAGTGATGCTAGGAGGCCAGGTAGAACAGCTTTTCAAAGTTTATTTGAGGTTCCCATTGGGGGATCCTTCGGAAAAAATCCCTCGAATAGCTGGCTGTATCTGTTGGGGTTTCTTTTTTGGGGGGAGCTTAGGCTCCCAAACCCTAAACCCTAAACTATTCAGGGGGAAGTAGGCCTGGGGTCCAAGGATTCCTCCGCGACAGACTCTTCCGCCGCCAAGCGCATACCCTGCAACAGGTGGATGGGTGGCAAAATGAAACCCTGAGCCCTAAACCCTGAACCCGAACCCTGACCCCTAAACCCTAAACTCTGAACCCTAAACCCTGAACCCTAAACCCTAAACTCTAAATCCTAAGCTCGAAAAAGCAATCCTTAAATCCTAAACTGCGTGGTCGGGGCTGGGCTTGCCTGCAAAACCGTAGGCAAACAAACACCTGAAGCCAAAAACCCTCCAACTCCAAAACCCCAAAACCCCAAAACCTAAGCCACACACTTTTTGACCTTCAGCCCTGGACCACAACCCCCAAGCCTTGAAACCTAAACCTCCAAACCTCAGACTTGAGCCTTTTCATTTTACACCTTAAACCATCAGCCCTGAACTGACGACTGCCAAGGTACAGAGGCCTGCCCGCTGTTTGGTGCGTCCTTATGGCCTGTGGAGGGGACTGACCGCATGAAGGCAGAAAGTTTAGGGATCAGGCCTTCGGGTGCAGGGTTTGGGCAAGCGTTTTGGGTTATGGGTTTGGGGTCTAGGGTTCGAGGACAGACTTTTTAAAGGGGAAGGCAGAGGTATGCTTTAAACTTTTAACTATGCGCTCCCCCCCCTCAACCTTACGCTCCGGCAAGTTATTGTCCTGCTTTTAGAGAACTGAAGAAGGAGTGTCCAAAAGCTCAGGGTGATCTTTTCGGCTGGTTGCGACAGGGAATATGCTGTTTTTGCTTTTTTGGAGGATGCCCACCAATTTTGTAATACCTAAGCGTAGTTCCTTTTGCTTCCCGTAGCTTCAACATGACCCCAGCAGGAGATTTGGAAGAAGATCGTGTTGCTTCCGGTCTTCCAAGAGATGTCGTGTGAGGCGACAGTCCTGGCAGTAGGCGAACAGCGGGATGGCGGTCGCAACGCTTACATGCAACTTTTCGTGCTGGCCTGGTACCCTTCAGAGTGTCAATCCGCCTGTTGCTATTATGATCCCACGTATCAAGATGCCACTGTCAGCGTGAGGGCTGGGTTGGATCCACAAATTGTTCGCCAATCCTTACATAATTCCCGCTTCACAGATTGCCCAAGCTTTGGCGGTATCATTGCAAAGCTCAGCAGCACGCTGATGGGACCCCAGGCCCCTCCAGGCAACTTCACGGAGGACTGGGAATTAGATCCGCAAGCCCTGGATGACGCATACTTGGAGCAGGCCTTCTCTGGAGGCACTGGCGCAACCTCAGCCCAAAGCAACAAGAAGAAGAACAAGAAGAGCAAGAATGCACAGAGAGGCTGACAGTTTTGTGCACTGTCAAGTTTGACCCGTCCCCGAGCTCAACAAATCCGCATCCCGGACCCTACTTGTTTTTGACCCGAGCCCTCGTTTGACCCCAGCCAGCAGTACACGGCTGTGCAAAAGGGTGCCTTTTTTGTGCAGATGCTGCGGGTTCAGCGCTTTAAGAAACAAGGTGCCCAAGAGTTCTGCTTAGTTCCCCTTACCACCTTGCATCTCCATATGAGAGACCAGTGATCAGAGGATCACATAGGATCTCCCCATAGTTACAATGCACCGATGCACTTTGTAGGCTCAGCCCTCTCCAGGCCCCGCGTAAACAAAGCAGCTCTAAACCAACAGTTTTTGGTGGAGTTTTCAATGTTCAGAAAATGCCACAGGAAGTTTTGACTGCACGGGAGAAGCCTCATTTGCGGAAATCAGGGGCTGGCTTAGACTTCATTAGGTTGTCGGGATCCAACCTATTCTCATGGATTGTAGATTCTTAGAAAGTGAATTGACATTTTGTTGGCCTCTGAGGCTACAGCAGAGCAAGCGGAAAATGAACAGAACCCTACTGGTCAACGTTTCTCGAGCCTCAGATGTTGTCAGTTGGGCGGACCATGTAATGTAGAAACCTGGATGATCAGAAAGGTTTCGCGTCGCGATCCCAACATGGGTATGCCTCGATAGACCTTGGCCCCATCCACATCATTCTCACCCTTCGCCAGCGCTGAGGATTGTTAGCTCGAGCATCAAACCTCAACCCAAGCCCTGAATATCACACACCGCGCATCCAATTCCCTAAACCCTAACGAAATAGACCTAGACTGATGAACTCTCAGTCAGTCCTATGGATTTTGACCTTTGAGAATCCTAGGCCGCCTCGGTCCCAAAATTCTCAACCTTACAAAATACCCCTGACTTTCAAGTTGTTATGACTAGGAATCAGGTTGTAGCCCTGCTACTTATTGGTGGTAAGTTGGGAATAAGGGTTTATTCCCTACTATCCCCCTGTAAGGCTAGCTGAGGCCTGAAGGTAGGTACAGTAACTTTGATATCAGAGTTCCGATCATTCGGAGGGTGCTGTGATGTGAGTCCTTGCGCACGGAACCAGATCCGAAAGCTATTCTAGGTGGCAGTTTGGAATAATGTTTGAATTTCCCCTATTGTGATATAGAGAACCCTAAGTACATGTAATTTTGGGGGACTGTATGAGTACCACCCAGTTTCGCATTTTCATGACTTGAAGGATTTCTCGATCGCTCATATTCGTGCCATTTTCAGCTAGATCTTCGTCTAGGCATCATGGGTGCGTGAGACGATTGTCGCACTGATTCTGGGAAAGTATGTGGTCTTCTTCAAGAATGTTCAAGAATGGGGGCCCCTCCCGCAAGCGGCCATCATGTTTATCATCTAACCAGCTTGATTCTTTTCTATCCTTGGCTGAGGTGTCCTTCTCGGATATGACTACCTGTGGCCGTTGTATCTTGTGCCAAACCCTCAGTAAGGGTTCCCTTAACCCCAAAGGCAGGGGTCGTACCGGCAGCCAGAATTGCAGCTTTCGGGTAGGTTCTGTTCAAGCATTCGCTGTCCTCCTTGTCTTGATGATCCTCGTCAACTTATCCCCAGCCACAAGGTTTGTAACTGCGTTGTATACCCAAACTCCTGCGTGACCTTCAGTAGCTTATATTACCTTGCAAGTTATGGCAGAACAGCATCATGTCTTGCAAAGTGCTCTGCTTGACCCGTAAGCTTTCTCAGGGTCACGGTAAGTCTCGCAGCAGGGAAAGCTGCAAAGACAGGATTCGCCTGGATCAATCATCGAGTGACAGAGCACAATAATGATAGTAGTAATATGTAGTAGTAATGGTAGTAATAGTAGTGATGATCATAATGTGTCTCAAGAAGTAGGTGCAAACTCTATGTAAGGCATCATGTCTGGTGGTCCTCAAAGATGCCTAGAGAATCTTGGGGCAGCTGTCATCTTACTGGGGGGTTACTAGGGAAGATGGGAATAGAAAAATCACTATATCATACATTCCTATGGTTCTTCCTAACCTTCAGTAGCTCATGCAGATCTCTAGTCGAGTGCTTCTTGCGGGGCATATCGGGCGTTTGACTGCAGCCTGCGTGGAGGGTTTGAATCCGGGTATTACTCACTAGGTAGTTCCCAGTCCACCTGGTGGCCAAAGCGAAGGACAGGCCGACTCTGTTATACTGAGTTCTTTCTCAATCGACGTAGTAGCTGAATGAGTAGCCTTTAACCTTTTAGGGGCTTGGGAACTTGCCAGCCAGGTTTACAACATGCTGCACAACATGCTGCCAAATATGCCCTCCACCTAAACTCTACCTGCCCCTGAAGGCCGCAAGTCCGCGACATCTTTCCCATAATGGCCTCCGTGTTCTATCTACTTCGCGATGGGCTGTAGCTCTAAAGGCCTAAAGCTTAGGTGATTCCCTCTAACAGTGGCAGTTACCAGCAGAACCACAGGTGAGGGGAGAATTGATAGCTGCAAATGAGATCCCCAAGGTACCATAATCAATTTTGTTTGTCCCCGCCCACAAAAAGGATCCGAAATTTTTGGAAGTTCTAAGCCCTAGATATCTCCAGCAATCCGTGTATATCCTTCAATAACCTCTATGACTTCTACGAAGCCCTTTAAAGGGACCCATTGTTTTCGGAAATCCCCAATATCCCGAAGTTGAGGTTGGATCTCTTTGGCGGCCTACTTTCCTACCCGCCTTTGCCGGAGACCCTTTTGCTCTTTCTCAAGCAGGGCGTAGGATTTAGGACTTAGGGTATAGGGCTTAGGGTTTAGGGCTTACGGTGTAGGGCTTCGGGTTTAGGGTTTAGGGTTTTGCTTAGGTACCTGAGAGATACACGTTCATGGGGCACTGTGATAGGATAACTTCACAGGCCCAGTAGGGACGCAGAATCCTTGTTTGGCACCTCAACCCTACATCCTAATACGCCTTGAGCCCCGAATCCCAAACCACAATCCCAAACCTCTTGGTGCCCTTCACCTCAGTTCGGGATGTTTCTGGTGAGCTCGTGGGAGAGCAATGAGGAGACTGACATCACAGACTTTTGCTTTGATTCCATGTTATTCACCACGGCGTATGATAGTGATTATGTTTATAGCAACCATGATGGTGATGGTAATAGTGATCATGAACATGATGATGATGATGGTGATGATGATAATGATGATGGTGCCAGAGTTCAGCCATGCGCAAGTGTTAACTTGGCAGATGTCATGCATTACCCCTCACCGGGCCGAGCTCTCAGACAACCGTGTGATTAAACATATGTAGCGGTTACCGTACTGACGCCCAGTATTGTAAGGAAGATGTCGCTACAGTTTTTGAGAACCAGAAGGACCAGATTGACTTATTAGGTGTTATGGAGTTTCCATGCACTAGTAGAGGCGGCATGTAGATGCCTTACGACACGAACCTTGTAGTTTATTTGTGGAAGCCCTCCGTAAGCAGTAGCTAAAGGACCCGCCGAGCCCTTCATTTCACAGCCCAAAGCCCTAACCGCTTCAACCCAAAAATTACAAGCCTGCGCGCAGATGCTGACGCATCAATCCATTAATCTCAACTATTGATGATTCCTCAGGCGCTTAACCATTCAGTTCTTTCCTGGCCCACCTCCACGGCTCCCTTGCCTTGAAACACTGGAGTTATGCGAAGCTCATAGTACAGCATGGTAAGTAAGGCTAGCAAACTCATGGAGAATCACAGGAATCTTCAGCGTAGACCCTCACACCGTCACCCCTCCAGCAACCTCAACTAACTACAGGGTAGTTCGAAGTAGACAAGCCTAAGCCCCAAGTCCCAACACCTAAAGTCAGAACCACAAGCCCCTGGCAAGCCCTGATTTCTGCTGCTGCCGAGTTCGTGGCTGCTGAGCCCTTTCTCCTGGATTTTCAGCTGGTTTAATCGAGGCGGAATCTCGATTTGGGGCATTTCGAGAGAAGTTTTGGGGTCTAGCGCGTAGAGTTTAGAGGTGCAGGGTTACAGGTTTAGGGCTTGGGGTTAGTGTTTAGGGACCCCAGGGATATACAGAATCTATGGGGCATCGCCGCGGCGCATGAATTTAGGGGCTTGGGTTGGGTATGTTGGGAAATTTTCAAGTTTGTTGATGCATTCTATACAATTGGGCTGAAAGGATGGCTAGAAGATCTGAAATCTTCAAATTGGTATCTTGCATGTTGTTCAGTGTATGTGACTGGGAGGGGCATCGTTGGGGGGACAAGAGTCTGACAATCAGGACGTAGTGTTCGGGCGAGTCCATCCAAGCCATCAGATAGCTGAAGCCGTGGTATCTAGGACCTAAACTCAAAGCAGGTCGTGAGGTGTCAGGATTTGATTTCCATCCCATATGCTTGTGCCTGGAGTTATAGCTTACGCCCGAAACTCGATACCATCCCCCCCAAAAAAAAACTAACATGGAATTTTGAAAGGGACCCCACGCAGACTCCTGTGCCAGGACTTTATGGGGTTGCATACTAGATTGATAGAGGGCTCTCTGTGTGTTCGCCAACTATCCAGCCTATCCGCCCTTAGCCTGCATCTCCTCCCATATTCCGCAACCCCTGCGCACAGGAAACAAAAACCCGCAAATCCTCGAGCCGTAAATCCCAGCACTGCCAAGACCAGGCCTCACATTTTTTAAAGAAGCACAAGCCCGATCGTCAGGGGCCCCGGTGGTGCAGCAGACTGGCCCTGTCCAGGAGAGCAGTCGAAGCAGTCTGATGCAACTAGAGCAACAAGTTCTGCAGTAGACGAGAAACTGCTTTTGTGTCTGACTCGGTGTTGAAGAAGCCAAGGGCAAGGAGTCTAAGTTTGAGGCTTAAAAGGTTTGAGCCTGGGTTTGCGGCCGCCCCAACCACACGCATGAAGCAGACCACACTAGATTGTAAGCATTTAGCTTTTACACACGTGCTTCAGCCCGCCTCAAAGCTCCAGTTTCAACTCCACCTTTTGGGAATCTCTCCAAAAAAAAGCTCTACATGCTGGGCTCTAATCAGGAATGTTTCGTGTCCCTTCAAAGTGTATGAGTTGCCGAACCTGGGTGAGATCTGAGTTTCTTGGGATTCAAGGCGCGTCTCTGGAAGCAATCCTTACAGAATCCTAGGCAGGCACCCATCATACTCCACTTTTTGTCCTTGGCACATTTAGGGGTCCAAAGGACACCCAGTTTGCAGTCTGAAGCCTAAGTGCCAGCCCCACTAGAGGCTATGTGCTAAGCTCATAGCTTCTCCTCCAGGAGCTGCGCTTACCCACAGATCAGGCAGGTTGCTGGGCTTCTGGGTGGGCTTATCAGTTATTGGTCGCAGTATTTGTATGAGTATTGGAGTTACTATCCTAAACCCTAAGCCCTAAAACTTACATAGTATGGGGGGTGTTGGTATAAGTATTCAGTCTTGCCAGCTTAGGAGCTAGGCTGCGCTTAGCTCTCCCAAAAGGCTTTGAGCTGGCTGTGTGTGCCGTAACGGCTTGGGGGTTCAGGGTTCAAGGTTTTGGGTGTAGGGCTTGGGTGCCAGGCTAGTATTATTGCGAGCAGAGTGCGCAGGCGCCTCGGGCTGTGAGGAAACAATCAGCATGGGTCTCGAGGGAACTGCAACACTGTTGTGAATCAGGGGTGTACTGTGGAAACTTGGAATCTGTTGCACTTTAAGCTTTCATGTAGTGATGACCCTATGGGGCTGCTAATTTGGACCAGAAGCATATCCGAGTCATGCTGCCAGCGCCCAGTACGGTATAGTACCAGCCGTAACCGGGACAGACGGTCAAGACTTGCTATTGAGTCTTGGATGTTGTCTGGCAACAAGAGAGCCTGCCTATTGTTGCATTATGGGCTTGGCCTTGTCGTGCCAGCATCATGCTCAGTATCATCCTGAGTTTCCGCAACTCAAAGTATGACCAGCAGCAACCAGCACTCAAAGATTCCTTCTTCCAACAGCCAATCTTGCCACGTGGGAGTTTCTGAAAGTTATCCAAGAGGTATCCTTAAATGCACATAAATCGCAGGGTAGGTACCCTTGAGAACCTCACTGTGTGGCTTGTTCGCTATATAGACGTCCTCCACCACCAAGCATCAAGTGCTTGGCACGGTACAAAGGTTAGGGTTTATGGCGTAGAGTTTAGGGATGAATTCTGTGACCACATGCCAAGTCTGTGCGCTTGAATCTCATCTTCATCTTGAATCAAAGGCAGACCCATGCTCCTTGGGGAAATTTATCACCTATGCAGAAGCTATAGTTGCCTATAACATGAGATAATTCTCATCCGTACGTCTATTGCGAGCATTGCAGGTTCACAGGTGCATGCTTTTCTTGGGCCGGGTTGAGCTGCGTAAGTGCCTTAGCTGCCTACTTATACAGCGTGGCGATGGGCGATCTGTTCTCCATCTTCATTGGCTGGAAGGATGACCAGGGTGCGGGTTGCAAAGCTCGAGGTCCTCGGCTCCCTGTGCGGCCTCCACGGAACAGAAAACACAGCTCAGATGTTGATGGCCGACTGAATGCATCCCTGAACGCTTCAAACAGCAGTCAAAGCTCGAGAAAAGCTGTTCCTCCTTCCACGATTGCGAGGCCCTCTTGGCTTCCCCGGGACAGCGAAGCTCTGCTGCTCAGTGAGCGCCAAAAACCATGCGGCAAGCTTGCGGCAAGCACATGAGGAAAGCGAGCGCAAATTTCAACAGGCGGTAAAGAGGCTGCGACAAGAATGTGAGGAAAGTGACTGCAAGCTTCAGCAAGAACGCCAGAAGGTGCAGAGTTTGCAAAAAGCGCATGAGGAAACTGCGCGCAAGCTTCAGGAAGCACGCCAGAGGCGGAGAGTTTGCGGCAAGAATGTGAGGAAATGCATCGCAAACAGCTGTGTCGCCTCCATCTTCCAGACCTGGCTACATTGTCGCTGTCCTCTAGCCTCTCCAGTGGCGCCGGCAAGTTTGTCTCTCGCCCCTTGGACAACGGTCATCCAGAATATCAAGCCTTGCACGCGATGTTCCACGAGTCCATGACAATGCATCGAGAGGATCATGCTTCCAGAATCTGGTGTGATCCTCCACAGGTTGACATCCTCGGCATACAGGAGGTGATCAACAGCAAGACGCAGAAACCATATGAATTGGCACGGATTGGAGTGGTCAACGACGCAAACTGCCCCCCGATACAAGGTATTTCGGCATGGAAGCTTTGCAATGAGAAAGCTGCAGAAGTGTGCTCGAATGAGTACCTTCTTTTCCACGGCTGCCCTGTCGGAGCTATCGAAAGCATTTGCAGAAATGGATTCGACCCGCAGCTTGGAGGAGCCACAGGCAAGATGTTTGGTTTGGGAACCTACTTTGCGGAGAACGCCTCACATGTTCAGCCTGCCGCGAGGGTGCTGCGCACAGCCAGTGCAACCATCCCACCGGAGAGCGGAAAATGATCGTTGCACGTGTTCTGCTGGGACATAGCCATCTTGTCAACAGAGCAGACCGTACCAGAACGACGGCAGAACTCCGCTCAAATTCCGGCAGGGTTCGACAATGCTATGAGTCACATGTTGCATTGCCGCGGGAAAGGGGTGGGGCCATAGACCACTTCGAGTTCATCATATTTAAGGAGAAGCTAGCTCTGGTGAGGTACGTGATCTCATACCGCCACAAGGCAAGCTGCACATGTCACATGTGCCGAGCAAGACGAAGGCGGTGGTAACCACAACATCTGCCAGCTCTGCTGAAGAACCGTTCCCTTTGAGGTCTATAGTCTAAACTCCTAGTATCCCCCCCTAATAATGGAGAATCAAATGGAAAAGAAAATGGAAACTGGGATATGATGTGGGCTCTTTCCTGTTCCCTTGTCAGAATGTGATAGGTGATGTTGCACAAGCCAACTCAAGCGAAGCAGATACCAGGAGGATAAAAGGACCAGCGCGGAGACTGATGTACGCAGTCTTCCCAAGAAGAGTCGGGATGTGTGGCCATAATCTTTTTAACTACACTCAGAGACCATCCTGTACCAAGCTTTCATCAGGTAGGTTCTGGCCACTAGCATCAATGTGCAGCAATTGCCTTCTCGATTCCAAGATGTGCGATGGAAGGCATAAAGCGCGGCTCGACACACTACCCGTGCATGCGCAACGCCGCCGTGTAGCCCAATATACGCAACATAGGAAGTTCGTGTGCCGGGTGCTTGATATAAGGGGGGGTGGCATGAGGACTTCATGGAGTTAAATTCAGATATGAAATCCAGCTGAGTAGTATTTTATTTGGGGATACTATGGTACCCAATATGGAGTAAGATTCTATCCTCC